CTGTAACCACCTCCATTTTCTGTGTGTGTGTGTGTGTCCTAAAAGAGGAGCATGGCACCTGATGACAGACTCCAGTGTTTCAGAGGGAGAGATAGAGGGCGTAGAGAGCGACCAACAGTAGGAGAAGGAACATGAAGATGAGGAATAAGGAGAACATGGATTTTTTTTTGAAGGTAAGTTATTCAAGCATAAGACGTACCAAGCTGCCTCTTTTTTAGCAAAGAGAGAAAAAACTAATTTGCACCAGAGCCTACACGTGCACACAATTTCTTTCTCTGGCTCGATCATCGTTACCTGGGCCAATGTAAAGCGAGCAGTGAAGGAGGCAAGAAACTGATTGGAGTCCAGCTTTCACATCCAAGTGCCCTGCTGTGTCTCTGCATGCTCATTCCCCCTTACAATAACTCACATACACACACTTAAACACACACAACATCCTCACAACGTGGAGATCGTGTACAGGTGGCATAAAGGCATTTAAATAATTGACACATTCTGACCTTATGACCTTATCAGTTTAAAGCACAATGACACGTAATTACTTCTGCAAAGAAGGGAGCTCATGTGGGCCCTCTCTATTGCTGTCTCTCTCTTATTCACCCTTATGTATATGAGTGCACACACACACACAGACACACTCCAACTGCTGCCGTTTGAAGGACAATTTATTGTATACGGCTTGTCAGAGCAAGATAAACAAATCAAACTCACCCCATCAGCAGTGTTTGACCTTTTCACACTGCTCTCATCACTCCTCAGACCAACTTTTGCCGAAGTAAGATACGTTTTAAGAGTTGTCTTTCTGAATCTGTGATGTAAATGTTATGTAAAACAAATTGGGGCCCCTTAAAGAGAATTTTTCTCTCGTGTCCCGTAATACCCACTGAAATCCCTTAAATGATTCACAATGTGGACATAATGAGGAGGACAGTCTTGGCTCAGCCTTCCTCAAATGGCTCTCTTGTGTTCTTCGTTAACAAAGGCTGCTGCCTAGAGACTAATTCAAACCTGAATCAGCTGGGTTTTCTGCTTTGGGGTGGTCAGGCAAATGAAAATAAGAGCTGTCAAACCTCAAGTGAAAGAGAGTTCAGCCTCACCAGAGAATTAGTGAGTTCATCAGCATGAAAAACTATAAACACCAAGTCCCCACATTTTTCTTTCTTATTTCCGATAAACCTGTAAGCTTCTGTAAACCATTCCATACCTTAGCTCCTATGTCAAGCAACCTATGTAAATTCAGTTTTGTTTTGACAAGTTTGTTGGTTGGTTGGTCCATCACTTTGGTCCAGACTGAAATATGTCAACAACTATTGAATGGATTGCCACAAAATGGTGTGCATTAAGCCTGCTGATTTAGCTGATTCCCAGACTTTTCCTTCAGGGTGACCATGAGGGTTAAATCGTTGGTTTTGAGTGAAATGTCTGGACACCTATTGAATGGACTGCCATGAAGGTTGATTGAGGCATTCATGTCCCTCATAGGATGAAGTAACATTGATTGCCTAATTAGCAAATGTTTGGCTAACATGGTAAACATTATACCTTCTGAAGCAGCACTGTGCCGAAGTACAGTTCACAGAGCTGCTAGCATGTCTGACCTCTACCTTCAGCTAGGTATTCATGATAACTAAATCATTTTGTGTGAATGCACTTAAAGCTGTCTGGTTACTTCTTTAATTCTGTTAGCTCACACTTTACAGCCATACTATGCCACTTATGATGCAAAGATGAGAAATATCTGACTTCTTACTGTAGATCCTGTAATTCACTTGAAACCAAACCATCAGTCCTCATCCGGCTTCGCCTCATCTCTCCCTCTACTCAATCCTCTTTCAAACATGGTAAATGGAGAACTCTTAGAGCTAATCTGACTTTAATGGAGGAAGAAAATTATGACCACACAATACTGCGTGAGCAAATCATCTTTCCCCTCCTCTCTGCATCTCCACCCTTTTGCCCCAATCATTACATTTGGCCTATAAATAAATGCCTAAGCTGTCATACAGGCAAATGGAGCTGCCAACATAGGAATTGGTGGCAGGGAGCTGAAAGGAGGGAGGTAAGCCAAAGGAATGACAATAAGCCCAATATGCATGGTTGCCAAGGTAGGAGAGACATGAAGGCAAAGCAGGTGAAGTCAGACAGCTTGACACACTGGAATCCGCTCAGATAGATGGGTAAGAACACCGGCAAATATAAAAGATAGCCGAGACAAAAATATCTCAGAACAGTCTAACATTTCTCTGTGAGACTGACCCCAGGGCTCAGGTGTGGTGGGCAGAAGGGGAAAGGTGGACCAAAGAGCCAGAACATTCATCACTGTCAGTGTAGAGAGAGGGGCAAAGAAAGACCCAGTGGGAGTAACTGTCTAATTACACTCAGCAGAGCATCAGGGAAATAATCAAATTTAAATCCTCTGATTTTTTTTTTAAATGTGGCATATTGAGCTGGCAGATGTTACACTATTTGTTGAGTCACTCCTGAACCAACTGAGTACAGTTTTTAAATCTAGAGTGGCTCTGAAAATCAGGCTTTTTCCTGTTCTCTGTTCAACAGAACAACTAGCGATGTGTCGACAGGAAGGAGCACTGACCTTTGAGAAACAGAGGCAGAATTACTTTATTTGCCCAAATAAATCATACATACAGGCCCAAACTTTGCCCTGCATTTTACACATCTCAACTTTCAGAAGCAATAAGCAGAAACCAGGGACTGTGTTGGATCCAAGGCCAAGTTATCACCAGCTCAGAACCACTGCCAACATTTGCAGGTTATCCACTGCCTCGAGTCTTTCATCAGCTTCGGCAGTACCTGCACTTTAATGTAGGGATACTTCAACTCACTGAAAAAGTGTCTGCAAGCTTGTGGTTAATTTCATTTTCATTCCAGATGTAGATTATTTTTCTAAGAATTAGTTATGCATATCCTACATTACATTATGTGTGTAGTTTTTCTAATCTGTTATTCTGGGGATGAGTCGAGCTTGAAAGGATCTTTCTGCAGTCACAACCATTATCACACTAAAACAGCAGGACTGTCACATATTCAGAATTTCATGCATTAACTTAATAGGTTTCTGCTTGCCTGTGGCAAATACATTACTTACAATTTCTATATAATTATATCAGATCATTGAGCAGCTTTATCAGGAGGGTGTCTCCGGGCTAATATTACCTCCTGTGGATGCATGTTTTTTACATAAATCTTCTTACAGTTTTAGATAGTAATTATCTCCATCTGAATTCTCTTTGTTCACAAAATCCCCACCAAGCTTTTGCTTAAACAGGTTGCTGTAACAGCTGTTTGTCAGCTATTAACTCGACTGGCAACAGCGATAGACAAATATCTATATATTATTCTAGAATGAATTATGAACCACATGTTAATATAAATACACGTGCACATACATAGGCCTTGGTGAGGATAGTGGCTGTATAATCAGTCCCCCCTTCAGTAGTATATGGGGGCTTTAATTGACTGCCTTAATTGACTGCCAGCCAGCCCCAATCAAGCTGCAGAGATCTGAGAGTGTGAGGACTGGGGCAAAGCCTCTCGGGTGATAGTTAATCCGCCAGCCTCAGCTGCTCAGATGTCGACACGTACAGCGAGGAATGTAAATGCAGCCGGTGTAAAAAGCGTAATTACATACATTATCGAGAAGGCAAAAAAAGTTCCTAGAATAGATTTACTGTGTAGGTGCATGCATTGACTGACATGGCAATAACATGGACAAGATGTCAGGAGTTTGGAGCAGTTACATCAATGACAGTGACTGTTACATGAGTCACAGAGGAGATACAGTATACTGTATGAAGATGTCTTTAGGCACCATAACATTACATTATGTATCATTTGGCTTTACCGCATCAACAAATTCTAGTTCTGTGATAAAAACCTCTAATTTATAGAGCCCTAAATTAGCTACCTACCCAAATAAAGCTGGTAAAAACCTTGTTAATGCTGAAACAAACAAACTAAATGGGCTGATTCTTTTCTCTCATTTGTTTTTTCTTTTGTTTGTTGTCTGTGCAGTTTTCTGTTTAATTTTAGATTTTGCTTTAGGGGTATTATCTTCATGGCCTTATTAGAGCTGCATTTTTGTGTCACAAGTTTGAACATGATGGCTGCAGGCCGTTTACACATTGTGTATCCCAGAAGTGGATACAAACAGCGTAATCCATGTGTGCATGTGCAGTGTTCATGTGCGTGGTTGGGAAAACTGCGTACCTGTATTTTACAGATGTCAAATGTCAGGAAACACGAGCACATGCATGCCAAGCACATCATAAGTACCTCTCTTAAAAAAATAAGTGGTGCTAGAGGCAGCCAGCGGCACATATACACCACGCTGACCTACAATACAAACTGATTACCCGTCTCCTCCACAAAGATACTGAATCATGAGATGCTTGGCTTGGTTGGTAATATATGGCGTGATAATGCCAAATTAAACATGGGCCCCTAAATTCAATAACAGCTCCAATTTGAGGCTTCAGTGGAGTGGGACAAGAGAAATGAAAAAAAATTCAAGACCAGCAAAACAGTGTGGGTGTTTCCTGGGGCGCACCAAGGTCTTTCTTTCTGTATCATCATCATTACCATCATCATCACCCGTACGGGTATTCATGTGGCATTTGGCGAGCACATCGACTTAAATAATTTATATCTCTCATTATTCCCTCCCCTCTGTTTTCCTTTTCAAAGCTTGCTCTGATTTAAAATAGGCTGTGGGATAAATGTACACTCAAAGTCTCACGTGAAGACTTCTCTTGGGTCTTACAAGAAGGTCTGAATGTTCCTCTCCTCTCTATTTCTGCTACTTTCTATCTCCCTATCGTACTGTGATTTGATTTAAAAGCCGTCCTGGGAAATTGGTGTGATTGTAAAACACACAGAATGGAAGAGCGGCACAGAAACAGAACAGAAGAAGAAGCAGAAGAGCAACAGAATATAACAGAAGTGAGCCCATGAGATGCAACAGAAAATGAGCAGGTGCCTACCTGAGGTAACGCAGTGGTTCTATGGTTTCAGCCTCTGCCTCAGCTGAGCTGTGGTTCATCTTGTCCATCTGTTTTCCCCCAGCACGACTCGGCAAATATGAGAAAGGATGAGCTGTGCCGCTCCAAAGAAAACACTTCCGTTCCTTCTCTCTGACTCTGATTCAATAAACACACTGTCTACCTCTTTGCCTGGGAATAGACTGAGAATCTAAATGGGCTTCCTCCCTCTGTTATCTCTCTCTCTATGGCTCTTGATTGGTTCAGACGCTGGAAGGTAATTACTGGCTGCTACACACACACACTCTGAATCTCGCCTCTCTATATCTCTCTGCCTCTCCTCTCTGTCTCTTTCCTACTGTGGCCCCGGCTCATTCTCTCATAAAACCAGCTGGCTTTGTGTGTCAGCTGCGCTCACCGGGAACGCCAGCCAATTAAGAATCAGGAGGCATGGTGCTCGCCGGCTGATTGGCTCAGGCTGCTGCGATCCAAGCCGTTCAGTCATCCAGGGTGGAACCCCCCCTCCATCAAATTCACACAAACATACACACACACACGTTCATGAACAGTCCTTGGTGGCAAAAGGATCCCTTGATGTAGAATGTAGAGCAAGCATCAGAGTGAGGAAACACTTGACTGCTCACTGAATCACCAAACAGTAACACCTTTCATATGATGGTGGGAGGTAAATGAAGCCCAGGACCACAACTGAGATGATAACAGTATCTGAGTGGGTACTGTGTGGGTATAACAGCAATTTGTAGCTCCAGCACAAATAGATGGGTGATCTGAACAGAACCACAATGACCTCAGAAAGACTTTGATGCATGCATGCAGCCTTGATGATATGTATTTAGGGCAAACGTGAAAAAAAGAAGCAATTTTTATTTTCTATTATTAAAATTTAACTGTACATTATAACACACAAACACACAGACACACACACACACAGAGGAAGGATATGTACGGTGGTATCACGGGGAGAACCTGCAGCTGCCAAGGAATGAAGCTCATAAGTGGGTCGTGGTGATAAACAATAGCTCACTTTCTTCTGTAAAGGTCTCTCTCTCTTTTCCGCTCGCTCCCTCCAGTTTGTTCTGACTACAGAGTTTATGACCACCTCTTTACAGCTCAACTAACACAGTTCAAGCTGTGGTCTTATATCAAAGATTAGAGTGTAAGTCTTGTCCAAAATGTGCCCAATTGAGGACAACTGAAGACAAACAGGTGCTATGGAATGTTGGTGTGGCCTGTCACCTAGGGGTTATACATAGCTATTGCAGTTTAAAGCAACAGTGTCTTTGTAGACAGATGGGGACTGAATTCTGACAGAAAAAGGTAATACAGAGGGTGTGATTACAGAAGCATGTTTTGTTATTGGCAACTGTTAACTAAGAACCCAGGCTTGACAAACATTTTGCATCTACAAGTCCATCTTAAATAAATACTCACATGCCCATTTGTACACTGAAAGCTGAACGATGTAATAGTTTCTCCAGTCCATACTTGCTGTTAAGAAATCCCCTAGAATAGCGATTTCAATATAAGAGATGTGTAATAAAATCCACAGCCTATGTTCCCGGGTCACTATGTATTCTTTCATTCAGCTTAATATGCGGCTTATGGGCAGAATGTATGTGAAGATGTGAACCTATCCTTTAATCCCATTTTTGTACATAAAAAATAAGTTATGGGATAACTTATTGGTTCGACTTCCTTAATTAAACACCCCAGAGGGGAGAAAATGTTAGTTTGCTATTTTACTGTGAGATAACTGTAAGAGAAGTGTGAATGTAAAAAAAAAAAACTCCAACAAACTGTGGTTTCTCTGTAGTTTTCTGTCATAATTGCTTTTTCCTTTATAGCTTCACAGACTAGTAAAGCTATAACTCAGCTTTCTATGCACACTGCCTAATGATATGCAGATGCTTGTATGCAAGGGGTAGACACAACAAACAAAAAAGCAACCTGTATGGGATGAAATTCAGTAAAAGGTGCAATAATAACTATGACTGCCAAAGTCTCAATATTGAACACTACAGGTTTAACTCATTATTATATCTTTCTGCATTTATATTTGTATGATTAGTGTGCTCACGCTGAGCATGATCCCAGCTCAACTTCATTATACTGGGCTTTGAGTGAGAGAGGTAAACCTAATGATTATTTTTATTATGGAAAGTCCTACAATAGGTCCAAAATATATTAAATATTCCTCTCTCAATTATATAAAACAAAGAAAAACACTTTTTGAACAAAAAACTTGGCTTTTTGCTTAAAAAAATTAAATGGACAATTATGATTAATGTTGACCATCATATACTGTATGCTTAAACATCATGAACAGGCAAACCAGCCATAAAAGAGGGGTTAAAATTAGTTTTATTATTTGATAGAGCAGAAAAAATCCAAAAAAACAAACAAATATTTCTCATACATTGTTTTCTTTTCCATTTGGGCTGCACTGCATTTAGCAGAGCTTCAGACCCAAACAAACGGAATGGTGATATTGTTGTCAAACAGCAGCAGCAGCAGCAGGCAGTAGTCAGGACAGCACAGGGTTACACTTAGCAGGGCACAAAATGATGGGCTCATTCCAGATTGCTTATTTTGCATCCACAAGACGCGGGCTGCTACCTTCTGCCTGTCAGGAATGTACAGACAACCTGGAAGATTTCCGATGCAACTTTAAAGACAGAAATACAACATCTCGAGCGATTTAACTTAAACTTTGTATGTTTGTATTTCTATCAGCAACGTTCATACTTTATTGTTGCACCATCCTAAATGAAACCCAAATGTACAGTGATGATACCCCAGTAGAGAGGGATAAACTTCAACTGATGCCCAGTTACCTAATGCAGTGCACCATCTTTCAGTATGGAGCCTGACAATAATCATTGAGCTTAAGAGTGCACTCTGGATAAAGGACTCAAATCCAAACAGGCCAGCAAGACTCCAGGTTTTTAATTTCATAGCGATGAGCTCGTCATCACTATTGTTTCAATGTGAAAACGATTTAAAAATGGGACAGATACAGGATATTGAGAAAATAACTGCTGGGGTGGTCAGACTCTTGGTTTTTTAAACATAAATGAATCGAGAGTTTGAAATATGCATGTGACGTTTCACCCTTTTTTTTGCTGCTTAAATTCAACACATCAATATTTTTAATCTTTAATCTTGTGAAATTTTCCAATAGGCCACAGACATGTCTGATTAAAGCAATCTCTGAATGGTAGAGAAACCGGACCACCCCAGTGACTGAATTGAAAGAGAACAGCACATGGTTAATAAAATAACTCAACGAGCAATGGGAATTCCTGTTTAATGTAGGACATGGTACTTCACTAGCTTATCCTGTGCTGCTGCAACCTGATAAAAATGCACTAGAGCTCATGTGAAAGGCATAGTTAGCTCAATTCAAGGACCTGACATAAATCATACACACCTTAATGTTAAAGACTAAGAAGTTCATGTCATTTTGTTGCTATAGGGGTTTTTGCATAACTACATTCTGAAAGCTGTCCAGCTTCTCTCAGACCAATCGTAAGGTGAGTGGGAGCCACTGGACACACAAGAGAAAACAAATCATTTTAAGTGGATCCATTCAAACTTAGGGCATAAGCATATATCTTTACTAACATGACCCTATAAATAAACCCAGAGACAGTTTGTCTATAGAAGAAAAATAATGCACCACAACCTATGACTAAAAGCAAAACAATGTCAAAAATATGACATTCCTTACACCCCCTCAGTTTAGCATGAATTCATGTTTATATCCAGAGAGGGTTCAAATAAACTAGAAACCTTCTAGCAGAAGGGATTCCATTTGGGCTCCACTAGTTCTTTGGAAGGTTTGTTTTTTTTTTTGTTTTTTTTTGTTGTTTTTTTTACAATATTCAATAAGAATAGTCCTCCGTGCTCATGCTCTGTGTCTTTACATGAGTCAGTGAAACCTTAGTCTTTATTTTTCCTCTTCATCTTAGAAAAAACAAAGTATTTAAAAGTAGGCCACGACATGGAACCCAGCAGATGTAAAACCACCTCAACAGTAACATTAGCCTGTAAATTCAGACCTCGACAATAGGCCACTTCCAAAGTATCGGGGAGCACAATATTCCAAACACAGTATATGACTTATAGAAGAAAAGACAAAATCCTAACATTCAGCCATACAAAATAATCCAACACACATCAACTTCTCTACTATACACGCTGTGGGTTAGAGAGAAGAGGCGGTCTGTGTGCAGATAAAGATCATTTTTACAGTCCTTTTTTAATTATTATTCATTTTTGCAAAGCTGAAGCAGTTATTATTTTGTGGATGGTCCTCAAAGCTCAACCACAGTCCCTGTGATGAGGTCTTCAGTTAAGTTCGGTTCGGCCACCACAAGGACCTGAGTCTGACTGGCTCAGACTGGAGAGGGGTAGGACGTAAGGCGAGTATTTTATTGTGTATAATAGTGATTATTTCCCCTGCCTAATCCAGAGGCAGGGGAGCTCAGGGATTTTTCCTCTTGGTGCAACTGGGAGGTTCAACCAATATACAGGGAGGGAGAGGCAACATCACTGGACAAGTTTGTAAAATTGTACAGGCCCATGTAAACCCCAACCCTCAAAAAAAGGTAGCCAAATGCTTTGACATATTCCTTGTATCACAGAAGCCCAATCCCAACAACTCCAGTTTAGGAGGAAGGATTCAGGTAAGGAAGATGGTAGCAGAAATATCTGAGGAAGAGGTGAAGGAACGCCTGTATCCAAAAAAAACTAGGCCGATTCTCCCCTGCACCATTTTGGCCAGAGGCAGAGTCCATAGAAAGGATTAGAATGATAATGAAAATGGCTGTTATTGATATTAAGAGGGGTAATAGTTATGATGTCAGTAGAGAGGAAGATTGCATTATTTCCATGTGTTGGCTGCTTGGGAGATAGAACGGGAGGGAATCATGTCCAGCAGGTACTCTCGCTGACGCTCGACAGCAGAAGTGGTCTTGTGGGCAGACAAGCTGGGGTTCACATAAGCCATAGTCACACCTGTCAGAAAACAAACACAACAATGGTCAATGTACTGGACATTCAGATATTACATATTTGACACATGTAGTAGGAAGACAAAGAATTAAGTTAACATGGAGATTTCAAAATATTCTGCCCTACACTTGGTTAAATTTATTTGAGGATACTAAATGGAAATACCGCTACTGCACGGTTGAATGCCTCCGCCAACCATTCAAGTTTCAGTTTACATCCATGTCTGCCCAGGCTCATAATATATGTGGTAAATACTTGGAAGGAATTGATTCTTTCCAGGACAATATGTCACAGTGAAGTTGAAGTTGTATCAACCATTCATTTTCCGACCAATTATAACATATGGTCATCAAGGCCAAATGTGTTTGGTAAGGTAACACTGACCTTAACCTTTGACCACCAAATTCTAAATCAGTTCATCCCTGAGCCCAAGTAAACGTTTGTTCCAAATTATAGACAGACTGACAATCCGTGCACAGAGACATAAAAGACAATGACAGAAGGAGAATTAAAGTCATTCTAAAATGAAAAGGTCTAGCCTGAATGGAAAGAAAGACTAAGGAGTGATAGTGCCAGAGAGGAATCCACCTTAAAAGAGATTGATTACCCCAAAGAGAAGCAGAACATGAGAACGGGTGAGAAGCGTTCTCGGTCTAATCTCGTCTCACGTTTATCTACCTGTATTGCCACCGCTCTGCTTCCTCCAGGTGGCCACGTTGCCCTGGTTACTGCTGCCGCTGGCGCTGACCTTTGCCCCGTGCTGCAGCGGGCGTGCTGCAGCATGCTTACCTGACCTGCTGCCCAGCGCTGCTGCTGTAACTGCAGACTGCAGCTGAGAGGAGGAAGTGAATGCGTGGGCCATACCACGAGAGCTCACTGAAGACTGGAGGTGTGACAGCTGACTCTGTTCAGAAAGACATGATGATGGTAGCTGTGTGTTGGTGCAGGTGTTAATTAACATGCATGTTTTGAAAATTATGTTGGTCCAACATAATCAAAGGCTATGCTCACCTGCTTAATGGAGGAGTGGTGGGCAGCCACAGATCTGTGCTGCATGGCAGCCCTGACCTGCTTGTACTGCTGGGACACCAGCATCTCACTCTTGGACAGTGAGGGAGAGGAGGACGAGGTGGTTTTAGAGACAGAGGAGGAAGATGAGGAGGAGGCTGCCTGCTGGAGGATGCGCTGCTCAATCTCCTGCTCCTGTTGGAGTGCCTTAACAAAGGCCGCCTTCAGCCGATTGGTGTGCTCTGCCTTCAGGGCCTTCTTCTGATTGGACGACATGCATTGGTCACAGAGGATGGTCCCGGCCTTCTCCTTTCTCCAGCGGGAGGTAAAGTCCGTCTTACACTGAGCGCAGGTGTATGGCTCTTTGGGAATGGAGCTGACCATGGCAGCAGCTGGGCCCAGATTACCTATATGAAAACCAAGATCCTCTTTAGACTGCATCTAAAACATTCAATTCTACTATTCAATTTATCATTGCACTAAAAACAAACTCCAAACTAGCTACCCAAGTACAAAGATCTACCCACCCCTGCCGTGCATCTCCAGAAGTTTTTGCACCACCTCCTCCAACCCCAACAAGTAGATGAACTCATTATTGGCTGCTGAAGGCAGAAAGTTGAACTCTGGGGCAGGAGGTTTAGGGGGCGGGATCTCCAGCAGCGTCTTCTCCAGCTGCTTACGCAGCGCAAGCTTAGCAGCTGCCTGTCGACTGGCTGGGGAATCATTGATGCTAGAGTTGGGTGACACTGAAGAGCCCTTTAGGCTGGTTGGAGAGGCCTGGACGCAAACACAAAAGAAAACACTTCAGCAAATACACATAATCATTGTTATGGCTGACAATACACATGAGAGCTCTGCAGCCTAGCAATGGAAAAGAGTGGGTATCAAAGGATACACTTTCCATAGCTTCTAATGAAAAACAGATGAGTGTGCAGTGTTTGTATTTTGTGTCCTCACCTGAGGGATGTTGACCATGACATTACTGTTGGCCACATTAGCCACCCGAATGAGTCCCTGCTGAATGATCCTCTGGCCTTGGATCTGGACATTGGGCACTGAAGCCCTGGGAGCCAGCAAAAGCGGCGGGGGGCCTGAACCGCTGTGCTGTTGCTGCTGCTGCTGACGTAGACTGGCTATCTGCTGGGGAGTCATTGCAATAGGCTGATAGCAGCACACACACAGACATCACAGATGCATGAGAAGAGCGAGCAAGGAGAAGACAAAGTAAGAAATTAACTAAGAGCTCTTCAAATCTAAAACATCTTCAAATGAGGGCTACTGTGATGACAATTATCATCTGAACAATGTCAAAGCTCCTCACACTAACCTGGGCCCCTCTGACCAGTGGTGGCATGACAATCTGAGAGTTGTGTTTGGACGGGATGTGTTGCCCACCCCGCACCAAGGGAGGAGGGATCACTGTGCCTGAGCTTCTGCCTGTAACCTGTAAACACAATAATGTAAATATTCAGCAAATGACACAGTAAGGATTTTTAACATTGTGCTACAAAAGCATTGTATTTTGTATGTGGAAAACTCTTAAAGAATTACACTTGTGGTGCTCAGTATCCACTTTGTGTGAGGTAAAATGCGGATTTACATCATACATCAATCTAGGCTTTACAATTCTAGTTGTGGCAGGTGGCTCTAACAAAATGTACTAACTACCTGGAGGGATCCTTTGCTTGATGTGATGCTACCTCTCACCAGAGGAGGAGGAGTGGCTACAGAGCCAGTTGCCTAGAAATGAGCATGGTACAGTATTAGTCCATAAAGTTGCACATAATTGAAAAAAATGAATAAGCAGGGAATGTTTAAATGTCTTCAATAAACGTCTTGTTAATTGGAAAACAACAAATGAAAAAAACTAAATCTTAAGGAAAACTAGGACCAGCTTGATAAATAAGAACTGTGTGTTAATGAAACCTGAAAAAACCTAAGACAGCAGTTCCCATCCCTAATGCATCCATCAGCTCCAACAAATCATTCAACATCACTTTCATTTTCTGGGGGTTTTACCTTCTGCACAGTGCTCTCCTTCTGAATCTGGCTCTGTCGTAGTTTCTTAAGCAGCACCAACTTGGCCTCTTGGAGTCTAAGTTCCTCCTTCAGCTGTTTGATGATGCGCTCCCTCTCCTCAGGAGAACTCTTCTAAATACAGCGTATCAGATAAAAACAGACATACATACATACAATTTAGAACTATGCCTGTAGTGAGTAATACAGTGACAGTGGACAAAATAAGACTGCATTGTAAAAAAAGTTTAAATATTGTTTTCCTACCATAAGTTTGTCTGTGTCAGCCTTTGCGAAGCAGTGGCCATTCATGAGAGGACTGGATGGCTCATTGTCTGATAACACAATCACATCATCTGGTGATGGTGGCTGCCGCTCTTTCTTAATGTCACTAAGGGGAGAAACAAGAAAAGACGAGAAAAGAAAAAAGAAAAGTGAGATTGTGTTTCAATATTCAACCAAGAATCAACACTGTATTATATTTCAGTCTGGAATACCTCCGTTAAGCTAACTACTAACTAACATGTAGTTTTGTCTTACATCCAGTAGATGGCAGTATATAATTATGATTTCATCCCTGTTGTAGTGCAAATGTGCACTGAGACACACAAGACAAGAACCAAGAGATCAATAATGGAGTAATGGCGGCTGGGGAAGATCGCAACAACCCATTATCGCCAGTGAGAGGTAACACCAACAGACAGACCTCCTGCTCTCTCCCTTCCAACAGACACAGCAAAGTCAGTCACAAACAACATGCAAACAAAGGGCAATTTAACAGCATTTTTGTTTTTTTATAGGAGGAAAAGGCTTAAAGCCTTAAAATCTTAAGTGGCTTTTCCTGAGGGCTAAGGAGAACAAAGGCGACTAGTGGGAAGCTACATATGCATCAATCTGGAGAGGGGTGGAGATAAGAAGCAGGGGATGGTTGTAATTTTACTGCATGTTGTGGAAGAATAAATCTGCCTCTATCACAGCGGGGATCCTTTCAGGTCCTCAGCGTCAGTGCATTAGAAAACAGAAGTCTGAGTGATAAGGAGAACTGGTGGAGGATGAGGTGAGGTAGGTACTGTTATATATGACAGTATGTGAGAGGTAGAGGTGTGGGTCATATTGTGGAGTTATGCATGCACACATGTAGTGACGTTATATAATTGTTCAGACGCTGTCAAGTGAGAGGCTTCAGGGCTTCAAGCTTAGGCCCAGTTCACCACCCAGACAGGGCCTCACCCCTCCCCTACCTCCGTGGCGAGGCCTATGGCCTAGCCAGATCGGCAGAGCCTGGGCCTCAGCTCTCCCCTCCCTCCCAGCTGCCGACACCAGAGTCACAAGCTGAGCAAAGCGGAGGTCCGCTGGAGACACTGGTGAGGGTGACAGTGAGGGGGAGGGGAATACATGGCCAGGAGCCAACCTATTGTGTACACTCTCTCTCTCTCTCTCTCTCTCTCACTCAGTCAATCACTCAGTCACTACTTCACACACCCTTCCCCCATCCTTACTTACTTGTTCATCTTTTATACTCCAACTCACTGACTCAGTTCTTCACACTTTTTTTGCACGCCGCTGTCTTCAGACACATTTCTCTGCTATACTGCCCCTTCTCACAACAGCTGCCTAACAGCTCCCTTCGACATACATCACATGCTTAGTTCAATAAGGTCAACTATAATACAATAACCACGTTGGTTATACATATGTTATGAGATGATCATTTCAACTGTCTAGACAATCACAACAGAAACTTTACCGTCATAATGTTGCCTTGCCCAACTGCTAAGAAAATAATGAAACCTTGTTTATACGTTATACTGCTATTTCCTGGAAAGTACTTCCTAGGTGCATTTCATTCAAATCTAGAAAGATGTCCACCGGCCTAGCACTTTCAGCACAGTGCTATTCTGAGAGGGATTTAGTGGAGTCTGAACATGCAGCAGTTTCCCTAACCAGTTGTATTTACATTGCGCACATACTATATGATAAACTATGTCAGACACATGTGGCATTAGAGAGGAATCAAAAGCGTCATCCTATTTCACAAACAGAAAACCTAATGGGGCCTTGACTGTCTTGGTCTCTCTGACAAAACATCATGGACTAGCTTGTGATGGTTGCTACTACTCTATTGAGAACAGCTTACACAAGCATCACAACACACAGCAGCCTAGTTATGTAAGCTCCAGTGTATCTGCATGCATCAGCTTCTCCGATCATGGCTTCACACTGACCCCACTATAGGACTGCTGAATCAGTCTTTAGTAGGTGCTGTGGCATCCTCTGTTCAAAGTGCAACATGACTGCTAAGTGCCATTTTAAGCTATGTATGGCTCTTTACATAAATGAAACAGCAGAATTACAAATAAGCATCAGACCTGCAGGATATTTGTTTAAATATTAATCTTTTTTTAAAATGTACACAAAGCATTCATCAGTATTGCTTCTTCTTAGTGACACTCTTTTCATACATGAACCCAGTCAAGACATGTTCCAGTCCAGTTACTGCATTTCTTTCTGGCATAGGAAATTTGGCTAGCATTACATTTCATTGATAGTTTTATAGCGTTGGCATACACAGACTAGTTCAATTCAATTTAGTTTATTTATATAGCAGCAAATCATAACAGAAGTTATCTCAGGACACTTTCCGTGTAGAGCAGGTCTAGACTGTACCGCATTTACCCAACGATCCCCACCATGAGCAAGCAGCAAGTCTTCTGGATACAACAATAAGATAATCCTTGCCAACCTTGCAGTAAGTAAGCACACAAACACATGCTGAGGGTTAAACAGGGGCCAAAGGTGACACTTGATGATCTACCAAAAACAGAGCAAACACACTTTGAGCTTAATCACCTCTCTGTCCCACTTTAACTGCCATTACATCAGTGTGTGTATTTATTGCTCTACCAAACACGTCACATGATACCAGGCATTTCTCAGTGTGGTCATGTGACACACCCACCACCCCTCCTGGCCCCTCCTTCCTCCAACTGCTCCTTCCAATGTGGAAACCATGGCAACGGCCAGTTGGAACCAGTTTGTGACACATAGCCTTCATTTTGTGTGAAGTGTGAGGCAGAGTTCAGGTGCTGCTGTAGGAGAAAATGGAGCCCAGGCCTCAGGAGCCTCAAACTTTTCAAAATGGGGGCAGGCTGTCGACAACCACACAGCGACTTCCTGTATGACTCCTGTCAGACCACTTGCGAGTGCAAAGTTAGAAAGAAACCCGAAACTCCAATAGACACATCTCTACGCACAACCACACACTGTGCATGCAAGCATTACATTCATGGCTACGGTACATAAATAATCAAAAAAAAGGTTTTCAAGCAAACTGTGCAAAAAAGGCAGACAAATACTGAGCCTCACTTGGGCCCTAACCCATATGACGAGTCAAGCACGATCAGTTAAGCATAACCAAATAGACATACAGCAGCAAACTGTTCTTTGCATTTTATACTCTCACTGATACAAACTAGTTTGTAAGGAGATTATGGTGTATTTTGTCCAGCTGGGAATACTTACAAAGGGCTTATTGTGGACAAGTTGGCTGACTATGCAATATTGAGGCCCAGTGTACAGGAAGAGACATAACTGTTTAAGCTTAAGTGTTTATGGTATTCCTTTCATTGTTGTTCCCAGACTAATGACTTTGACAGTATCATGTAAACTGCACAACAATATGTTCATGACCAACAAGCTCTCAAGCCCTATGCCTGAGCACTGTGAAGTACTGCTAAAATTACATCAAGTGTTCAGTGCAGAAAAACAGCGCAGGACTAAAACCCTGTGATCTTTTTCCTTGTCTCACCTTTTGGATGTGCTCATGTCAACAGGCTCATCTCCAGTCTGCACCTCCACCTTGATAGTGGCCTTCACTTCCCCGGCTTTTAGGATGCTGGCTGCTACCTTTGCAGCCTGCTCACTCTTCAGCTTGACACCCTCGGCTCCAGACCCCACCAGGGCCATGGGAGCTCCAGCTGCATCACCTTTTTCTAGCTTAACCCGTTTACTGTCCATGTCCCCCGGAGACCCAGTATGACCTGCATGGTCCTTCTCCAGAGCCCGCTTCTGGCTGCGTGTTTGACGCACTGCCTCCTCTGACATGGCTGCTCTCACCCTGAAGAGGGAGAAGACAGAAACCGTTAAAAACTGCAGAAATACATTTACAAAACAGAAAACAAACACTGACAGGGCAAAATAAGCAAAATAATTCAACTTGGGACTATGCATGGATTCACAGCCCATAGCAGCAGACAGGTTTAGACAGTAGATAGACATATAGATTAAGGTGCACTGTTGCTGCAGGATAACACTTCCTCAGAAGAAGTTTTACTTAGATAAGCAAAAAGTGCTGGTTTCCTCAGAGCAACTCTCAAACTGAATGTCATTTTAAAAATCATATTGTACTTTACACTTCGGTATCAGAATCTTTGCTTTAGATATATTGTGCCAGTTCCTATTTTTTAGTTTTGAGTGTTTTATCCCCCTACCCAGAAATCTTATAAGGACATAGAGAAGACAAGAATAAGTCCAGTGAGAAAGAGTCCTAGAAATAAGTCTTTTATATATCTTGAGAATAAACTGTTTTATGTACTACGTTTGGGGCCTACTTTGTCTGCAGTAAACAATGTGGAGCGACCATTGCAGGGAAGACACAAAGTTGTAACTGCTTCAATTTAATTTAAAATTGAAACAATAAAACTGGGAAGCACTGCCAGGTGTGACCGCTACAATGATTACGGACCTGAAAGGCTGCCCTTGTGTCAGAGGCAAAAGAGTAATTGAGGAAGTTAAATCAAATCTCTAACATCACAGATGACTGTAACGGTTTAAATAACAGATACATAAAATAAAAGCTCTCAATGAATCCCACCTATTATACCAAATCTGCACTGGTATAACTGTATGAAATAATTATGAAGTGGCAGCAGCACCACCAGTGCAAAATGACAGTAAAGAACCCCATAATGTGTTCGTTTCACCCAGAACCCAGACATCCACTGGACCTTACAAAACATCCTGGCTAGAGAGACCATCTGCTAATAATACCATGTTGTTGAGGGAAATAACCATCCTTAAAAAGTTATACTTATACAGTTTGTTGTTGAGTTTTTATATGAAAACGTTGTTTGATTTAGCTGATATTTCGAGCTGTACAAAAAGGGACAACCCTGAGGTGTATAGGCATCTCCTGTCCTGCTGCCAGTGCCCCAGATGCTGACCCAAATCTCACTAAGATCTCTGGGAAAACCTATTACACAGCAGAAAAATAGCACCAACACTGTGCAATATTCACACCAAGCACACCAATGTAGGCCATGCACGTATTACGGAACAGCCACCGACTCTCTTGAAAAAACATTTTATAATTATCATAAAAATGTGATGGATATAAATGCAAAGAATGAGCGTGTTTCTATCACTGCACATTTAAAAAAATTCAATTTGATGGCCTAATTTACGATTTGGGCTGAACCCAAGTGTGCATTTTTATACACACACACACACAC